GTTATATATCGATAAATTTTGAACGCCTAACCCTCCCTCGGGCACCATCTCATACAACTCATGATTCAAATAGAGATCAATATACGCCCTCAAAATATCAAACGAAGGCAATCCAATCCCATCACGGTCAATATAGTAGGCACAACCAAGGACAAGGAAGTGCAGGGCCTGCTAATATATTGACGCCATCGCCAATTTCTTCCCTCAAAAATTGAGCCTTAGGAGCATCCTCTCATAAAAATATGGCTACCCACGCGAATTCCCGATGTGCCCGTCTGGTGGCGTGGGCCAGCCCCGCTACCCCCGATTCCCAATCTCTGCAGAAGCTCCCAGATTTTAATCTTCACGATCAATCCGCAGCTGCCTCTTAAAGGCATTGAAGAAGAAGGTTGCCCAGTGACCCAATAGTAACAAGCTGCCCTTCTTGGCTTCTCTTGAAGCTTAAGTGGAGAAGCTGAAACCCTGGAACCCTAGCCCCTGATATACAGAAACTAAACTGTAAAGAGCCTAGGCCTAAGCCCTGCCAAAGTTAAGGAGTGAAGGTACTACTGGGCATCCCAACGAACTGCTAAGCAAGCACGCAAACGTTCGGCAAGGTGGGATGTTACCTCCTGCCGCGATACACAAAGACCTCTGCGGGCTTCTCCTGGCATCTTTCTTTGGGTTTTACAGTATAGGGTATATAAGGTTTAACATAAGGTTTATAGGTCCCACCCCAAACCCCAAACACCAAACCCTAAACCCTACTTACTTCATTGCTTCGCAGAGTCCCTATATGCTTGAGGGTTCGCATGGGTTCGCTTCTTCAAGCCCCCGAGGGCAAGAAGCCGCTCAGGTGCAGCGGAAGAGAAGCCGGCTGATCAGCAAAAGTACCACCGTCCTGGGTTTGGGACGGGGGGGGGGCTTGGGTTGGGGCTTGCTTTAGGTCCCTGAACCCTTAGGGTCCATGGGTCTCGTTTGCCAAGAACTTTTTCCGCGCAGGTCCTCTTTCTGCACAACCCTTTGCCTAGAGCATCCATGCCCAAGTGATGATCACGCACGTGCTACCAGTGCATCCAATGCCCGCAGCATCCATGCTCGAGCATTTCAAACTAAGGGTTTAGGGGTTTAACGGTATCTGCACTATCGTAGAGGGCTGCCGTGGCTGCTAGCGACGAGCACCTCATGGAGGTCGCTTCTTTCTCGCCGTCTCGCAAAGGATGGGATGGGTGTGTTCTGAAGATCAGGGGACTTAGCCTAGGTTGCCCAGAAACATTTTGAAGGGTGCCCTTTCTTGCTTAAAGGGTTTAGAAGGGAACCTAAACCCCCAAACAAGGGAATAAGGGCACTACTGTGCCTCCTAGTACTAAGTGGTTGGAAGTGGGATGACCCCAAATGATTTACAAATCACCCCACCTAGAATACATGTACTAAACTTCCCTGATCCTCCCGCGAGGCAACTGGATAGTTAGTTGTCAGAGCGAGAAGTGTTCTTAGGAGCAGCTCGTGAAATCATGTAGGGTGCGGGCGCTTTGCAAAAAGTAGAACCTGTGACTTTGGATTTCGGGTTCGGGTGGGCATGTAAGGTTCTTCGAAGAAGGCACCGCGTTGTTGACGACAGTGGAGGGCCTCTTGGCCCTAAACCCTAAACCCTAAACCCTACACCCTAAACCCTAAACCCTAAACCCTAAACCCGAACATGCTCCGCCAGTGCGAATCTGATTTAAGGTTTAGGGCCGGCTTGGGGCTCTCAAGCGTGTAGGGTTTCATATGAGGGTTCGGAATAATTACTAGTAATGTTCCGATTATATTATATGGTCCCTTTTATATTTACACTATAATAACCCCCAAAGCCCTGTTCTAATTATGAAGGCTCCTACAGTATAGGGCTCGGCCGGAGCAACCCCAGCTTAAGCCTTCAGCCTTCATGAGCTCAACATGTCTCCCATAGCTGCCCCCCCCCCCCCCACCCCCAAGGACCCCAGCTTCGCAACACAACATACACCCGGATTGCCCCCGAACCCTAAACCCTAAACCCTAAACCCTAAACCCTAAACCCTAAACCCTAAACCCTAAACCCTAAGTTCCGAAACCCTAAACCCCAAATTCCGAAACCCTAAACCCCAAATTCCTAAAACCGAATTTAGCCGAGTCTCTGGGCAATGTTGAAGAAGAACGCGCCAGAGATTTGTGCTGAGGAGCCTCCTGTACTCACCGCGGCCACCGTGGCAGCTAAAGGTTCCTGAGTCGCTTTTAAGGCTGTTAAGGCTTTTAAGGCCTTTAAGGCTTTTAAGGCTTTTAAGGCGTTTAAGGCCTAGGGCTAGGGTTTAGGGTGTAGGATTTAGGGTTTAGGGTTTACTAGGGTCTTGGGTTTAGGTGGAGCCCCTTGCTTCTTCTTGAATGCATACCCTATAAACCCTGAACCCTAAACCCTAGCCCTAAATCCCCAAACCCTATAAACCCGAGACCCGATAAACCCTAAACCCTAAACCACATTTCATCGTGTGCGAACTGGGGGGGTCCCATTCAGCCGGTATCTGAGTCTGAAAGGCTCAGGCCTTCGGGGTCCTTTGGGCCCATCTGTGGTTTATGTAAGGGGTAGGGTTTAGGGTTTAGGGTTTAGGGTTTAGGGTTTAGGGTTTAGGGTTTAGGCTTTAGGGTTTAGGGTTTAGGGCTAAGGGTCCTGTAAGGCCAAGTGGCCGTCGGATTGCAATTCGTGGTGCTGCACTCTTCGCACGCGTAGCCTGTGTAGGACTGCGTCCCTAAGGTGGTGTCGAAGGCCGTCTTCAAGAAGGTGCAGTCCGTCACTCCCGCGACCACGCAATGGTAGGTTGTAGTGACTTGCGTGCAACCATACTGAGTTCGAGTGCTCGACTCCGTCACGCAGTTTCCTGGGCATGACGTCTGAATGGTCGTTTCGGCTGACACCACGCCGGTGCAGCCGGTGAACGTGGTGTTGGCGCCAACGTTGCACGTTCCCGGAGTCCCCGAAGAATTCGAGTCTATTTCATTGGTGTCGTTCGAAGCCCACACGCAGTGTGGTGCAGCAGATGCGATGAGGGCAATCAGGAACCTGCTCATCTTCTCCCGACTTTTTTGGGGGCAAAGCTCTTCTCCGCCCCGCGTGTATGTGTATTGGGAGGCTCTGCTGCTGGTGGGCCGACAGGGACAGGACAAGAAAAAACTGCGGGTGATTGAACAGAAGCAGCACGGGTCTTCAGATTGCTTTTGGACTGCCCTACCGCACAGTGCAACCGGTGAAAAGCTCCAAGAAGGGGCATCGCTAGCCTTAGTCGTATGAGCATTCGTATCATTATGATTCGGGTATCTAGGGTGGTTTCCAGTACAACTGAGTGGGGATTGTGTGATGCAAATCTTGGGATTCTTTAAGTCACTTGCATTCGGCCTGGGGTGCTTGCTCTCCGTTCACTTGTTGCAACTGAAGAGAGTGAGAGCAGCGAACGACACCAAACCCTACAACACAAACAAAGCAATCGCAGTATTTCGAGCCCCTACTTAACATGTAGCTTCACGACTTAACATTGAGGGCCCATTATTTGAGGTCGTGAACTAGATTGGATTCTTGGGTGTATCTCCAAATGAGAACTGAGGGCTTGACGACTGGGAATACCATCCTGCGCGTCATAGTCCAAGACTATGTAGGCTTGCATAGGGTTACTTTGGGGGCTCTGGGGATAAAGTTGAAGGCCGAAATAAAACAACCTCTTAACCCTAGCCGAGTCGTGATGCATAAAAGCCCTTGCGGTTTAGGGCTTCGGGTTTAGGATTGCAGGGTATTCGCCATAGACACAGACACAAGCGGAAGAGCCCAAAGACAAATCTGAAACCCAAACCGAACCCCACCCTAAACCCGAACTGCCAAGTTCGAGTTGGTTCTCCATGCTGTTTAACCAGAGGCGCTCGACTGGCCAAGTCGGTTTTCTAAGTCTGCAAGAGGGCCGACACTCTGGATGCAGCCTTGGGCTGCACGGGCGTGGCCCTTGCTTGGAGAAAAGCTGTTCAGGGTGTTGGGGGCCTAATATAGGGGCCTGAATTATTGGAATGGGTGTTGGGGGCGATTCTAGTAATTACAACTATAAAGGGACCCTAAATAAGGGAATACTGTTAGCAACTACTCCGACCCCCTATATTACGTCAAAGAGGCTCACGCCGAAGTCATCAAAAGCAGGCCGCATGCTCCCCACTACTCCAGGCTTTCGGGCGCGGCCGTCTGCTTAATGGTGGTCAGCAAGCCCAAATGGTCGCTGACATGCGCAGCGGAGGCACTTTCGTCAGGGGTGAGGTTCACATAGTTGCTGTACATAGAAGGCAAGATAGCCGTAAGGTACGTATCCAAGAGATACGGGCTCGGGTGCAAGGGCTGCTCAAAGAGCAGCTCTACAGACTCCGCCTGCCACTGCGAAAGATTTGCAAGCGCCCGGTCGTCGCGTTTCCTCCCGCCGCTGCTTTTGCCCGACTCGTCGGGATGCAACGCGGGCCAAAGGTCTTGAAAGCCAGGCAGCAGACGCGTCAAGCACCGCTCTTCGAGCTCGTTTTGGAGGTTGAAATCGCCCAGCAGCAGCATGTCCGGCCACTGCTGCATCACCTGCGCAATGCTGAATTAGAGGTGTGGTACTGAGTAAGGGCAGAACACAAGAACAACACATGACCCCAAGTAGGGGAATCTTGAAGCCCCCACCTTAGCACAAACAGTGAGCTGCTCTTCGCGTGTGCTTTGGTGATTCGCTGACTCCAGATGCACGGTGCCGACAGCTAGGCCGTCGAGCTCGGCCACAACGAGGTCGCGGCCCATCTGGGTCGGAAAGGGGTGGCGTGCAAAATGCACATCGAGGCCCGGCGGGACCACAGTCCTCGGTGACTCATGGTACACTCCCCGGTGATTAATGGCAGTTCTTTTCTTGGGGCTCCGAAACTTTACTGCCAAGGCGGCTGGTTTCAAGCACTGTTTCGGACGAGAAGCAGATTGCCATAGCCACGAACGGAAGAGCCATCCCCGGGATCAGATGAGGACCAATTGGGAAGTGCGCGTTGGATGTCTACGGCCACCGTGCATGTTACTTCTTGGAAGCAGCAAATGGTGGCCCCCAACTTCCCCAAAGCCGAGAGCAATATGGCAGTGCGGAGCTTTTGCTGCTCCTTCTCCCGCCAGACATTGAGGGTGAGGATGGTGATTTTCGCCTGGGAAGGGACCTTGTAATCCTGCATGCCCTCTTCAAGCCGTCTGCTCAGGTGGGGCCTTGCATGAGCCAGCTTCTGTGCCAGGCGGTGGAAACATCGCATGACAAACGCAAAGGTGGAGGGCTCGGGAAGTATGTTGCCTCGGCGTTCGAAGAGTGTGCTGTCCAATTTGTCGTCGACATACCGATCTGAGATGATCCCATGTAGGCAGAGGTCGCCGAGGAGATCAAAGTTCGCCACATGCATGCGAAGGAACTCAGGGTAGGAGAACACTCTGGACTTGTACCCCAACATGAAGGCAGCGCCCTCATCCACCAGGCCCCGGATCACACGGAAAATCCTGGCTAGGAGTCCGGACAGGTACTTGGCCTCTTTCAGCCCATCACAGATCTTGATGAGAGGGAGCTCACCATCAGGCTGCAAGGCGACACCATGGAGCGACGTCAGGAGTTCTGCACGCGAATCTGCATCCTCGAGGTGTCGAGCGATAGCTTCCATGGACTTGGTCTCAAGCGCCTGCAGGCACGATGCGAGCCGGTCTCGCTCCCGGTCGTGATGCTGAGGATGCGGGTCCGGAGATCCTCGTACTTTTCGCACGGCCAAGCTTGGGGACAGCTTCCAGGGGTTCTGCCTGTAAATCTTACAATGAGTGTATGCATCTGGCTTGAGGTAGAGGTCCACATGCGTCACGAGGCCACCCAGCAGAGCCTCCAGGTGGCTTCCGGCGCTCTCCACCTGCACCGGATCGAAGCAGTTCGGCATGTAAACACAGCAGCAGTGCTTGCCTTTCTGGTCTGGGCTTCCCACCTTCATTGTATCAGCTCGCCCCAAGGCTTCTTTACTGAGTGCCCAGACAAGCTCGGGCCACACCCGGTCCATATCGGCAGATGTCAAGAAGAACAGCCACTTACCAACCAGGACGCCGTGCCGGACAGAAAGCTCCTTGAGGCCATCCTCCAACTTCTTCCGTGACAGGCCGCCTTTCGACGAGAACTGCTCCCACTCAGCTTGTAGATGATTTTTGGCCTCCGGCTTGGTTTTCGAAGGGCCTTCCTTCTTCAGAACAGCGCACAGCCCACCCTCATCCAGTTCACAACTGACGGCCTGATCCGAAGGAACCTCCTGGTTGCGGCTTCCCCCAATGAGCAATCATGTATGAGCCACGGCAAGTTGTCCGCATGGGATGCAGCAGCCACAGTGGCCTCATAATTTTGCTGAGCGTCTCCAATGCTCTCCCTGCCACGCCCTCGTCCAGCAGCCCGCCCGGTCTTCCCATTTCCCTTGCGTTTTCCCTTCCCTAGTTTTTGTGCTGGGCTGCTTCGGTCTAGCTGACCTGGCCGGTCGGGGCAGTGCACGGTCAGATGTTGGCCAGCAGCGCCGCATATTTGGCAGGTGATGGGCATGGCTGTCGGATTCTTAGGGTGCTGATTCCGGCGCCAAACGTGTCCAAGGTTGCTGCAGTAGCAGTAGTCAGAGGCCAGTGCGTGCCAGCCCCAGTTGTTGCAAATCACGCTTTGCGCACGAAAGCCAGCAGGAAGTAGGGTTTAGGGTTTGGGGGTTTAGGGTATACGGTTTAGGGCACATCTCTCTCCTCTCTCACTCACTCTGAGAGAGAACTCTCTTGTGCTTGACCGAACGGAGCTCTCACCAAGCATGCAACACAACTGGCACATGGAGATGCTTGTTTTCTCGGAAGCGAGGCTCTGTATACTCAGAAAACTCGGCGAAGCGCCGGACGCTGTGAGTGAAAACTCGGCAGGCGGATTTCCACCAGCTCTGAAAATCGGTAGCTGCAGAGCTCCACGTCTGGCTCCGCAGCGAGATGGCCAGTTGAACTCCGAGTTTTGCAAGTATTATAGGGGAATTCCCTGAGCCGGTTTGGGGTTTATGGCTCAATTAGGGTTTAGGGTTCAAGGTCCTGGGAAATGCCCATAATGAGGGACGCACGTTTGACTTCCTGCATCTGAGTGCCAAGGCTAGCGGTGCTATTTTGTGAGAATTCTTGGTAGGGTCTTGTTGGCCGCGCTCGGCAAAGAGACCGGATGCTTTGATCCTCACCACGGGATGTCCTGAAGCAGCGACTGTCATTCTTCAACCCCCTATCGGGAGTGGCCCTTCGAGCCCCGGATCCCAGAAGCCCTAAACGCGCACTCGGTTCAGGGTTTAGGGTTAGGGGGGAGACCTGGCATGTCTCATCAGAACGCATCAGGGGCTTAGCTGCAGGGTTCAAGGATCCCCATATTGCCCTTCTAAGGAAGAATACAAAAGAAAATAATCCCCACATTGCCCTTATTAGGACGAAAATTTGTTTTGCGGAGGTTCTTAAGCAAACAGTAATTAGTAGTTGGGTTTTTTGTAGTTTATAGGGTATGTGTCGAGATCAGGCCAAAACTCGAAGGCGCCAAAAAGCCCTAAACCCCGAAACGGTCAACCCCACTGGAAGCCCGAAGCCATCAAGCCTCTATAGCCCTGCAAACCTTAAACCCTTAACCCCAAAACCCCAACGTCCTCGCGGGACCAGATGTTGACGAAGCGGCCGCTGTCGGCGGTCCCATATTGATTGATCCTCAGCGTTTGCTTAGTTGCTGAGCCCCCAACAGTGTACACTTTCAGTTCTATCGGGGATTCTAGTATGCCAAAAAGTGTAATGTGTACTCATTCAGCTACTCAGCTACTAAGTTTATTTCTAATAAGGTTCAAACTCTGGGCCCTCCCTAGGCGGGTTCGCTAAACCCTGACCCACACGCTAAACACAACACAAAACCCCTGGGTTATTCTTAGGGTAGTTACATGGCCGCTGATTATGGGCCCTTGAAAGGGGACCCCTTAAACCCCTTATATACCCTATACAACCCTTAGAGTTACGGCCAGAGGATTGGGTACTCTGGAACCCTATACTGTGCCCCCAATACCCCCCCTAAACCCTGCATACACCTTACACCCTAAATACCCGAACCTTCAACCCTAAACCCTAAACCCTAACCCTAAACCCTAAACCCTAAATACCCCGAACCTTCAACCCTAAACCCTAACCACTAGCCCTTTACGCGAAGTTGAAGGCACCCAAGGCAGGGAGGAGGATCCTGAGCCCTACACCTAAACATTTAGGGTTTAGGGTTTAGGGTTTAGGGTTTAGGGTTTAGGGTTTAGGGTTTAGGGTTTAGGGTTTAGGGTTTAACGCCTAACCCCTAAATGGGGCCCCTAAACCCTGAACCTTTGTGAAACCTTAAATTACTGTTACCTGGACCTTCCGGTAAGAAGGCCGTGGCTCCAGAATGCTTACAGTGCACTCACGTGTATGAGTCAACATCATCGCTAAACCCTAAGCCCTAAACCTTGGAAACAGGTGGCCCCAGAAACCTGAAACTCCGAAATGCTGCCCAGGATCAACTCCAGCATTCGGGCGGCAGTTTCCTCTGGAGGGTTTAGGGGTTGAGGGTTTAGGCGCCCTGAACCCTCAGTAGACATTGAGCTCCCTAAGCCCTATATAGACCCTAATCCCTAAACCCAAAACCATATAGCCCAACCCTGAACTACCCTAAACCCTCGACCCTCAACCCTCAACCCTAAACCCTCAACCCTAAACCTTTAAGTCTAAACCCGGAGATTTTGCAAGATGCTTCTTCGGAAGCCTTGAGCTCGTGGATTGGGCTCAGGCAGCTGGATGCACGCTTGCGGCTTATGGTCGTAAGTAAGGGTACCACTGGGGAAGCGGAGCCTTGAGTGGATTTCACGAAGCCCTATGCCCCAAAACCCTAAACCCTAAACCCCTAACCCCTAAACCCGAAACCCTAAACCCTAAACCCTACAGGTCCTGCGGCGACCGGAGCTCGGGATATGGGTTGCCCCTGAGGTAAGGTTTGGCCAGATCGGTGTCCACCATCTGTGGATACAGCCTCCCAACTTAGGGTTTAGGGTTCAAAACAGGGTTAGGGTTTAGGGTTTAGGGTTTCGGGTTTAGGGTTTCGGGGTTTATTTAGGGTTTCGGGTTTAGGTTTGCTGTCGAGTTCGCAACTTACGAGTTACGGTCAGAGGAGGATTGTGTGTAGCTGGAGATTTTGTGTTATGCACGTATATCATGCACATGTACATCTGCTCTTTATTTGTTGTTTATTTTGGGGGGGCGGAGGGCCCACGCACCCACATGTGTTCATGAACGGTTCTCTAAGCCAGGAGCGCTTGCCGAAAGATAATTGATATGTTTTGGGTACAAGTTCTAGATGCAATGGAGTTCAGGGTTTACGGGCTTGGGGCTTAGGGTTTAGGGTTTGGGGCTTAGGGTTTATAAATGCTCTCGCTGAAGCATTCAGATGGGAGTCTGTCTTCGAGTACCAAATAACGGCTCAAGTTGTCCAAAATGAAGGCGCTGCAGCGTTTGCTAAGTTTACTATATCACCTGCTATGGCAACCAAATTTGAGTTCTTCAATTACGCGAACCCAGTTGCAGCTGGGGGGCGTCAAAGCCACCACATTGTGTCGAGAACCCTCAATGGAGAGGTTCTTCATGAAGGCCTCGTGGAAGCAAAAGCAGCAAGCGAGCGCAACAAAGACGCCAGAACGTGTAGGTAGTGGTAGCACATGGTGCCACTAAACCCCAAAACCCTAAACAACCTTAACACTGAACCGTTCTCAACCTTGAACCCAAAACCCCAACCCTAGACACCCTGTAAACCCTGAAGCTTGCAAGTCAAAGTTCAGGGATGTATTTCTAGGTCCTATATTTCCCACAATAAGAGCCCCCCCCCCTAACATCAGCCAAAATGCTCTAGTAGCCTATTTTCCGAAAACATGGATTTCATCTGTAGGTCTCATTCGGCTTTTGCGTCCTGCGACGAACCCTGGGCTCCCAATGGTATAGTCTCAGGGTCTACTTGGAGGTTCATTGTACTTACAACGCAATTGTAACTGTACTTATTAACCCACTTAGAAGCCCTTTAAGTGCCCTAGTATGGTTATAAGTGGGTTCGAAGTACAGTTGCAATTGGGTTATTAAGTACCATGAACCTCCAAGTAAGGTTCAGGGAAAGAAGGTGCTGGGTTCCAGCCCTGAGTCCTCAACCCTACACCACGTGGCTTAAATTAATTAGGGGGAAGAACATGAAAGCCGTGGGCCTTGAGAATTAGAATGTGGTTTAAAGTTTAGGGACCATAAGGGAAGACTACTAGTAGCTACTCCGACCCCGATATTAAGTTAGGGGGCTAATCGGTTTAGGCCCGAAGCCCTCAACGCCTCCAAAAAGGTAGCCCTTTAACCCTACTTTCGAGTAGACCCTGGAGCAAAAAATAGTATACTGTTGGGGGTATAAGCGGCTATAATAGGAACCCAGAAACCAAAACACATATGAAAGTATAGTACTCCGAAACCCAGTCACGCCCTCATCGCAAGCCTGGAAGCTTCACGCCAGATCATGCAGGGTTTCGGGTTTGGGCTTTTGGACTTTTGAGGTTTAGTTCGTTTGGAGGATACTTGGGGGACATATGCTGGGTATACCCGTTTCAACCATCCGGACAACTATTTGTAAGCAGGGTTCTACATCGATTCAGCAAAAAGGGAAATGACAAAACAAACTATTTCCAGATGGGTGCCCAGTAGAAGCATGGAGCATGGCATTTTTGATGGCTGCGACTTCCCCTAATTAAACTAAAACCCAAAACCCTAAACTGCTGGGGACTAAATGCCCCTAAACCCTAAACCCTAAACCCTGAACCCTAAATTCAAACCCCAAACCCTAAATGCCTAAACCCTAAACCGCTGGGCTCCAAACGTTCAAGCCCGTTTTCGAGACGCGGTAGGAATACCATCCTCCAGCCTGGCTGTTTAGGGTTTAGGGTTTAGGGTTTAGGGTTTAGGGTTTAGGGTTTAGGGCTCGATCTACTTG